GAAAAATCACAATTTTCTTTTAAAAATATTCATTTTCTGTTTGTGTTTAAAACGTTTAATCGCAACGCTCTGTGTAAAACTCAAATGTTTATATATAGATACCTACTTCTCTAAGTATTAACATAATATTAACAATGGGTGCCTATTTCAAATTAATACGGAGTGATCAGCTAATCGCGATTCGCCGACGCCATTTTAACGCAACTATTTATTTTAATTGCTTTGTTTATTGACTAAGTCTACGTTTTAGAGTATAGAATAACAACTTTTCTATTTACAACATCAAGATATTATTAATAAGAACGCCTTTACTAACCAGATGTCACTTTACACCCAAACATTAACCAGATGTTATTTTAGACCCAACATAGTCTATTTTAACCAACTCCCAAAAAGGAGAGGTTATCAATATGTATGTACACTGATTTCTAAGACAATTCTAGATTTACTAGTTTATATCGTATCACTACGCTTGAGAGTTCGTTTTGAACATTTATTAGTGGCCCTTCACTGTGTAGGCAGTGCGCGGTAGCGCGTGCGGTAGACGTAACACTAAGTTACACATCCAGCGAATTTTTTTTTCAGACTTTATTATAGTAATAATACGGTATAAGCTAGCCTGCACGCCCGACCTACTTGCGAGATATTGCTATTGGTTTGAGATCGCATTCGAGTTTTGTTTTTCTCGATTGTAAATCTGCCATTTTTCCATCCTAATAATTTTTATTTTAATAAAATAAGTACTACCAAGACAAAATAATTTGACTTCGGGAAAACAACCATTAAAATTTCAGCGTGTATATTGCATCAATCTGTATGTATATACTTTCAAATAAAAAAAATCTAAATCGGTTTAGAAATTGTAGAATTCTGAGGTAAAAAACATTTTAAAAAAATACACCGAATTGAAAACCTCCTCCTTTTTTGAAGTCGGTTAAAATTAAATATTACACGATGTGCTTATTGTATTCGAGCAAATTAATTGTGTTTAATAATATTCTTAAATTTTATTACATCTGTATTTTTGTACCATTAAAATATGTATAATTAAGTTATATTAGTACCATCATTATCGTGTTTATTTTATTCCATTTTATATTCTCATAAATTATATCTTCGTACGTAATACCTAATCCTTTTTTGTATCGATTATTTAAAATTAATCAATAAAATAGTAATTTGCATAATTTGATTGCAAACGTCAGAAACTGGTATCATTGAAAGGCGTGTATGTATGCGCGTGACGAGCGTAGGCATATTCGACTCGCGCCCACTAACATAATGACCTTGCATCATTTTAACGCTCGTGTTTTGTACTAGACTGCGTTTCTACTGGGTAATAATTCTATGGATTTAATGGCTAAAGCAGAATTTGTGGAGTTACATAAATCTTTAATGAAAAATAATAAACAATGTACGCATTATTTATTATATAATGCATACACCTTTACGTAAATTCGCATTGACTTTGCACTATTATTCACCAGCTGCGTATAAATACGTTAGAGAATACTAGAAAAGTAATAATACTGATATTCGTTAGTAAATGTATATTTTTATATTTTACATACTTACTTTTTAAAATATGAAATAAACAATCATTAAAATTTAATTCTGATATAATATTATGTTATATTATACACATATTATATGTACATATTATATGCAAAATAAATAACAATAAAAAAATGTACTGGATATAATTAAAAATACAATCTAAATCAGGGGTTCCCTAACTTATTCATAACGCGCCCCCTTTCTACCAAAAAAACTATCCTCGCCCCCCTGCTCAAGATAATTTTGATTACTATCAGGTTAGAAAAAAATATTTATATATTATAGTATATAACATAAAAGATTTTAATAGTTAATAATAATCATATAAAAAACTACTTAATTATTTAACACAACTTCTTATTTATTCGAATGTGATGAATGAGCTTGCATGGTTTTAACGAGGTTTCTGATTCTCAGCTTGACCACAGAAATCGCACAACGCAAATCACTATCTATGTTAAGTTTATTTCTGTACTTAGTTCTTACTGCTACAACAGCAGAAAATCCCCTTTCGCACAAATATGTACTGGAAAAGGATAAATACAATCGAAGTGCTTTCTTTGCTATTTTGGGATAAATTGAGAAATATTTGACTCAAATCATTGTTTTACCCATTTTTTCGATATTATATTTAGTAGCAGAACAATTTTTAATTTCCAAGGCTTCCTCTTAAAGTGTTTCTGGCAGGCATCTATGTTAACTCGGACTCGGTCGTCGACGATTCGAGCCACTCTGCGTTGGATGCGGTCAAGTAGAAGGAGCTGGCACTGGGGAGCCCCTGCCCAGAGATGGGAACAGTATTCCATGTGAGGCCGAACCTGCGCCTTGTAAAGTTACAGGTGGTGTGCCGGCATGAAATACTGTCCCGCTCTGCTGAGCACGCCAAGCTTTTTAGAGGCCAATTTGGCCTTCTCTTCCAAGTGACCACGAAACTGCACGTCACTCGATATGTCGACTCCGAGGATACCGATACTGGCTGAGGCAAGAAGGGGAGTGCCTTGAAACTGAGGAGATACGACAAAGGGGTTCTTTTTAGCGGTAAACGCGCAAACTTGTGTCTTCTGAGGATTAAACTGGACTAGATTTAGTCGCCCCCAATCCGAGACTTTGTTCAGCAAAGACTCGACTTCAGACACAAGTTTGTTCCGGTACTCGGCGCCGTTTTCCCGATTGGCACGGCCGGTGTATAGAGCATCACCAGTGCTGTCATCCGCATAACAATGAATGTTAAGGGTCCATTCCATAACATGGAATGGATCGGTCGCCAATCGATAAACATCATCATCACACGAGGTAGGAAAGTAGTGGTTGAACTTATCAGTAAGGAGCTGCAAATTATTTGATATTTTTCTCTTGGTTTCAGAATCCTCAAAAACCTAAAAACCTAGAGTGAAATTTGTTGCAATTTTTGCTTACTTTCTGGTCCAAGAACGATGTGGGCTGCTTGCAGCATACACGGTTTGACGACTGTTTCTCCAATCTCCAATAATAAGGCTTTTCCCTTTCGATAAGCAACGATAATTCGTTCGCAGCTTCAAGTAGTTTTTGGTTTGACTCGGCAAATTAACCAGTACTATCTAAGTTCATGCATTTTAAACTTCCAGATTTTACATTATAAAACTCTTTCGGTTTGTCCTTCAAATCACTGTGTTTAGTCAATAAATGTTGCTCCACACGAGTCGGTCTCAAAGCATCATTGCTCAAAACTTCGTAACAGATAATGCACTGTGGATGATAGCCACCATTTTTACTTATGCAAACAAAACCGTATTTAATATAATCTTCATTGTATTTGCGATTCTTGTCGTGTTCATCTCGTTGAAACAGAAATAAATTGACAAGTCACAGTCTGAGTGACTGTGAGTTGTGCTTACGCGACAGCAAGGCGTGCGGGGGAGGAATGCACGCACAAGCAAATCGTCGGAACTTCGAACCGACCACTAGCTGCGATTAGTGCGTTGAGTAAGTACTTGCAGTAGCTGTGTACATAAAGCCGTTTCTTGATCGTAAGGTTCTTAATTAGGCAGGAGGCCCGCGCCCACCTTTGCTGGTCTCTGCGCCCCCCACTTTGAAAACCCCTGATCTAAATAAACAATTACTTATTACAACTACCTACGTATAATCTATGATGACAAAAACTGCGCATGCGCGACTCGGCTATCTTTCGCGCATGCGCGAACACATAGAGTAGGTCACATTTTTTATTTCGAATAGCTTCTCTAGTACGTAGTACATTATAACTCAATGATTTAGACATCGTAGGTGGCCAGCAAGATCGCCAGACCTCACGCCACTCGATTTTTTTTTGGGGGTGCATCTAAGACGACGTGTACGCAGAGAACGTGGATTCGGTGGAACAATTACGCCATCGATCGCGTTTGAGATATTGAGGGAATTGCTTTTAAGTGACAATTTATTTTCTAATCTGTGGGAAAACATGAAACACCGTTTAGCTCTTTGTATCCGCCAACACGGTGGTCTCATTGAAAATAAGAAAATTTAAAATAAAGACAAATAAAAGCAGTGATTAGTGATGACAGTTATAACTAATAGTAACAAGTGAGGGTGATATGATAAGTGTTTGACTATGCACCTCCGCTGTAGGTACTCTCCGGCGCCACTCGGTTTCTTTGATAATAAGCCGTCAAAGAATCGGACCGATTACGAGTACGTACAAGACGCGTTGCGCGGTTGCCAGAATGTGTTGTAAATTGAACAATAATTGAACGTGATCAGGGGCTGCTCCAATTTATTTTTACAATGTGTGTACAGTTAATAATTTTATCTTATCTTATGGTGCAGTTTATGACTTTAAATATATCCTTAACAATATTTAACCCATCTACCGTCTTCCTTTATGGAATACATCGGATTTCTGCATTTAATGATTATGCCCTTTGCTCCAGTTGGTTGACATGTATCGTTAGTTCCTGAACAACAGATTTTGCTTTACAATTTATCATCCTGAAGCTCTTTATAACTCTTTTTCATAGCTATAATTTCCATTTTACACTCTTCAAATTCAGCATTCATAAACTACTTTATTTTTGATAATTCTTCACTTACATCCTTTAGCTGCTTATTCAATGTGTCTAATAAACTTTTACTTATGTTACAGTAACGTTCCTCTTATTGGCGTATTATCATTCTTCCCTGATTTCGGAGCTTTACTTGTACATAATGGACATTTCCAACCATATGACTCTGTCGTGTCCTGATTTTCAGGTAAGGCTAGACAAGATATGTAATAAACTTTTTTACAATTAGTAGAACACAGAAATACATCGTCAGCAGATCCTCCCTCACAACAACATCTGCTTATATATAATTTCGGTTGCTTAGTACACACATATATTATATACTTATTATCTACAAAATATAATACAGGTATACTATTAAATAAATAAAACAATTTAAATTTAAGTTATAAAAATTAAACCAACCTTATTAGCCAAACCTAAACTAGTCAGTCTTGGAGCAAGGCTGTAAATAGCATTCTGGACTTTTTGCCATAACTTCGTCATATGAGTGTTGTCATCATCATAGGCTTTTGATGATTTAACAATAAGTTCAAATGCTTCCTTAGATAGATTTGGAATGAATTTCGTATCACCAAAACCTTTATAGTTCCCGCTATTTGCGAATAAGCCACCGGAATAGACTAAAAATGCCTAAAAAGCAAATATTTAAAATAATTAAAATATTTTTATTATATCACTAAGATCACAAATCACAAACAACCTTTGTGAACTTTAAACAATAAAGGCCAGGCAGAATACCTTTTTTTATAAAACTGGTCAGGTGGATTGCAAGTTGGTGGATATTATCCTAATCATTCAAATTTAAAATGTTAAAAATGGGTAATGCATTCTCAATTATTTCAATATGCCACCATTTACTAAAGGGGATATTTACTAAAGTAGCCACTCTTGATAGGCAGGTGCAAATTTTTATTATCTTAAGGTGTTGTTAAGAACATGTTGCTGCAAAATCCCTGTTTTTTTTTCTTCTGTCGCCTCTTACAACACCCATGGGACATTTTTCATAGATTAAAAAAAAATTAAATGTAATTAAACTAGTGCTTGACTATACAACGTGTCCCGAAACTCAACGTCAAACGGACACGGGGCGAGAGTGGGTCATACCAGCCCCGGGAAAAATAAAAAATAAATCCATATCAGTGAGTTCAGTTATAACTGACAAATTTATTAAAATATGGAAAATCAATCATTAGGTATTGTGACCACAAATTTCTCAATTTTATAGTATTTTTTTCAATAACGTGGTGTTAAATAAACATGCTATTAACCCGGCGTGAGTACGGTAGAAAAGGAGTTGTACTCCTACTGTATGGTGGGTCAAAATGTAATTTCTACATTTTCAGGAAATTTAATGAATTTTTAAATTAAATGGGATGAATGATTCTTATACTATAAAAATTTGGTGAAAAGAATAAAAAAAATGTGTTATATTTAGAAATTTTTATGTATTTTCCAAGGCTATAAAATCTTTAAAAAAAAACTTAAACTTATTAATCTTATGAGTAAATAAACAAAAATATAACTTATTGATATTTATTTGTTACTTTTCATAAAGTCTTATGTTTGATCTTTGAAAATATAAACTAAAAGTTACATTTAAGTCTTAAAATTAATCAATGTCAGCGTGTAAATCAGCAGATATGCTGCAGTAAGGAATTATGTGCTCTGGGAAAACAAACTTGTTGCAGATGCTGCAGGTGTGGGTAGTTTTCATATCTTTTTTGGCAGGACATATTTGACACCATTTCCTTACACCTGGAATTTTAGCAGGTGGCTCTTCTGACGGTTCTCCTGTAAGTTCCCTGATTCTTTTGCGCATCTCTCTGGGCAAACGTAATACGTCTTTGCAAGTTCTCAAGTGATCCTCCAGAAGTGCAAGTCCTAAATTTTTCAAAAATTTGCGTCGCTTTATATCTTGTAAATTGTTATTTTTGTATACTATATGTGCGTTGATAGCGGTCATATTTAAAACTCCATAAAAAATGGTCAGGGGCCATTTTTTTTGAGTTCCGACTTACATCGTACATAGAACAGAGTTCGTCTGCAACATCTACCCCACCCTTTGTTATAGATATAGAATGTATTTATTTTTGGTTTTTTTCATTTCTCCTGAAGACTCGTCAATCTGTCCGTCGTGGTGCAAAGAAGACATTAGCAAAACCACTTTAGTTTTTTTGGGAATATGGGATACAATCATAATGTCCTTCTGAAAACCAAATGTCGATGAATAGACTTCTTTTCCTTGAGTTCTTGTAAATTCAGGGGGTACTTGCCCCTTATTTTTTTTGAGTAGGTGTTGCATTAGCTTATAACTTGTAAACCGATTGTCGAATGTTATGTTGCGGTTAGTTTTCGAAATTGGCTGTACAATGCGATCGACAACATCAAATGGTTTATTGCTCTGAGCTTATGGCTGCATCAGGCTGTTTTCTAGCATAGATTTCTAGGTTTGTGATAAAAAAAGTTTTCGCATCAACTAAAGCGAATATTTTCAACCCATATTTTGCAGGCTTTGAAGGGATGTATTGTCTAAATTTACACCTGCCACGAAAAGCCAAAAGCATTTTATCAATTGTTAGATATTCTCCCGGCTTGTACAAATTTTGACAGCTTCTTACAAATGCATCAAACAGGTCTGGAATTGGAGCTAAATTATCAAGCAATTTTCTATCATCTCGAGTAGCTGGATCGTCAAAACATAGGGAGTCTTGAATGAAATGGAACCGGCGCTGGGACATAGTCAATTGGAAAATTTCTACACCTGTACCGTTTGAAGCCCACAGATCATTCAAGTTCTGCCTCCCTGACCGTAATACCCCAGCAATATAAAGAAGACCCAAAAATGCTCTCAGTTCATTCATATCACATTCTTTCATGTAATACTATATTTGACAGGGTCTTGGCATGCTGCAATTTTTGTTTTAATCCGTGAATTAGTATAAAACAGTATTTCGCCCAACATTTCACGATTGAAAAATAAACTCCAGCACTCCTTTTCTGACTTAGCAGATACAGCTACAGATTGAACTCCTGACGCTTCAGTAATGATATTTTCTGATCGAATGCGAACATTTTGTCTAAAAGGTTCTCTGTACCATTTTGTGTCATCTTTACCAGAATAAAATAATATCGGTACCTGATGAAGCGATGATTCTGTTTCAGAAGAATCCTCCAGGTTAGACCTGGGTGCGGAGGAACGCATTTCTTGTCGAATAACACTCAATGGTACATCACTTTCACTATCTGATGCTTCTTGTTCAGTGTCACTCTGTTCACTGCACTCACTAATGTAGTCTTCTTCTTCATTTTCTGACGAGTAATCGCCTTCATCTGAGTCACTTTCTTCCAATAATGCCAAAATTTGCTGCATTTTACGTTCTCGGTTCATTTTACAAAAAAACAAAGGAGTGTAATGTACTGACAAGACAAACCACAGCCAAACTTCACCACCTGTTTCAGCCAATCATATCAAAAAACATCTCTACCGAGACAGGTAGAGATGTTTTTGCTCTAACTAACATGAAATGGCATCATTACCTGTTTCATCCAAAAACATTTCTGTCACATTTGCACTTGTTGAGTTCAATATTTAATAAAAAAAATGGTGGTGGGGTGGGGAACTTTTGATTTTAGGTTTTATTTCAGAAGATCAAATTAATTTTATTTTTTAAGGATGAAGTGATATATATTATACCATATTGATCTTGGATAAATGGGCCTTTCTCCTAGATTCTTAGAATCTTTAGAAGTAACTTGCCTAGGGTAGTACAGTATGTTTTTTTTTATTAATGAAGAGTCAAAATTAAGTGATCTTATTTCAACTACGACTAAAAGAAACTACATTAATTTTAACTAATCTAGCAACCTTTTTTTGCTTAATTTGTGACTGCAACTAATAGCATGTTTATTTAAGATCACATTAGTGAAAAAATCACTGTTAAATTGAAAATTTGTGGTCAAAATACCTAATGATGTGAATTAAGGTGTCGATTTTCCTCATTTTCATAAATAACTGAACTGATATGGACTTTTATGACCCCCTTCTCATCCCTTGCTCGTTTGAGGTTGTTTCTGGACACATATATATGATCCCAACTGATGTTATGTGGTAATCCAATCTTGCGCGGTCAAATTTACTAGTTTAGTTAAAGCATATTCAGACTTCTCTCTTAGACAACATTTTACTTACGTGCAAACACTTTTGCTCTTAAAATACTTTTTAACCACTAATGTACAGTATGAATATAATAAAAAGAAGAGTTTACCTTAAAATCATCTTCAGAAACGCCAGCTTTTAATGCAGACTCCTTAAGTTTATCTAAGGGTTCTCCAAGGAAAATCCTATGAAGAAGTGAGAAAATTTTTGGAGATTCAGGACTAGTTTGAAGAAGAACTATGAGCCCACCATTCCATGCAGCCTGTTACAATCATAAATATTATGTAAAAAGAGTAAAAAATATACATTTTATATACCTATGCAAAATCTTTTAAAATACAATTGTAATACATTTATGCTATTAATTATGTAAACACATTACCAATTTAAAAGAAACCATACTCTGAAATTATTATTTGAAATACTTCTTCAAATGTAGTGTTTGGTTTTTTTCAAGCTGTGGGACTTTTAACTCTTGGTGAATTTAATATTTGAAATAATAAAAAGCAAAAGAAGAGCATACACTTATTAAGTCCAGTGAAAGAAGATATGATAGTATAAAGTCATCTAAAATAATAGTATTCTCATATTTTTTTCTATTCTGATCTTATTTTACAAACATTCAGTTGAAAGTTTACTAACATTCAAAAGCAAAGCAAAGATAGGTGCAAAATTAGTTATAATTTTAAAGTGAATAACACTTAAATAAGCATATTTAATTAATAAGTGAATATTGCCTTTAGGCTCGGTGTTGCTAATGGGTGTTTTTCTATTATTAACAATATATTTATATATAAATTAACAACAGCAATGCAAGATATGGCTAAAATTGTTCTTTTTGCTGATAACACAGATATTATGAAGATTAATATTTATCAGCAGCAAAATTTAATTTAAGACGGTGCTTGTAAATTCTTTTGTTTATTAAATGTAACAATAAATATACTTACTTTACTCAGATAATGAGCATAAAGCTTTTCTTTATTGGTCAAATTGTTAAATGCTTGCGAGCTATCTAATTCTACAAACCGTTGATTATTTGGCAACAAAAAGTTAGCTTTGTCTTCCATTGCTGAAAATAAAAATCACAGAATAATATATAGCTCTAGCGCAAGTTTTTGGCAACCACAAAATACATAAATCACTACGTTTATTAGAAATTATTGTACAGTATATAGGTTATGAAAATCGTCTGCAAATAATTAACCTCTTCATAAAACTACCTTTAGAACGTTAGATACTGACCATTAACTAATACCGGCTGTATTGCTTTAGACTGAGGAGGAGCTATTCCAGATAAACTTCTATTATATTTACTAATAAATGAATCAGCATTATTGAAATGCCGGCATTTGTTTAGGTTAATAGTCAGAGTTCGAAACATTTGGAACGTCTTTGATTAATCTCGATAATTATTTCATGAGTACTTACTAATATTTAATAAAAGATATTGTTCTCAAAGAAAACTTATCAGCAGATTTTCCAACACAAGCACAACAAAAATTTATCATAAAAGTGCTCCTCCTCTTACACCATAGACATAGATTTTTTTTTATAACTGGCTTTACGGCCCTGGGTTCTAATCTTTCTGAGCCTGAAGTTCCAATGTATTATTATCCTTCATAGTACACTCCTTCACAATATGTTGATGCGTCACGCTGTGCAAACCTTCGGAGATTTTGACGCCAACTTGAGCCAGCAGACAGCTGACAGTTGGCAATGGTATCACAAGGCGCCTAAGCAGACAGACAGATCTTGAGAACCATATCACCATCATAGCACTTCTTTCACCGTTTCCACTAATAGTTCACATGCGCAGACAATACACAAAATTGCACCACTTTAACATATCAAAATCCACTTCAAACCATTATTTAAACAATAATACAGAAGCAGCAAACCGTCACCGGTCAAGTTTCCGTCATAACTCCCTATACACTAGAGGTGGGCGATGCAAACCGTATCAGTATACGGAAGAATTTAAACACTATTTATCGCAGGCAAATGTGCACCTGAAGTATGATCCTATACTGTACTGGCAAGAGCAAAAAAAGTAAATTTATCATGACCTTCACTCACTAGCTATGATGTTAAGTATCGTCGGATCATGTGTTCCTTGTGAGCGCCTTTTTTCAATTGCCGGTAACATCGCAAGTCATGAGCTCATGAGCGGAACCGCTTGACTAGCCGTAGACTTGACAGACTATTGTTTTAAAAAAGTTTAGATTGGCATTGGGAACTTTAACTATTTCATGTAATAAATACATTTTGAAAATAAATGTCTTCTTTCATACCTGATCTGATTTTGATGTGGTCATCATCATTATTACTGCCCTTCACAAGTCCACTGCTGAATATAGACCTCCCCCAAGGTATGCCACAAAGCATTGATATGGTAATAAAAATAATTGTAAAACTAAAAATCCCTGTTTTTACTGATAAGAGATGATTTATTGTTGTATATTTCTTGTTTTTCATAAATGGATATATATTTACATTATAATGCAAACATGAAAAAAATAGATTTTTAGGAATCCATCTTTTAGACCTCGATTTTTTCTGAATCGATACATCAGTTTACAATTTGAATTGATTTAAAAATTTATTCACAGTCCATCTTGCTGTACGTTTTGCCAAGTCTATGCACGACGCCCGACGTAAAACGACAAGGAGTAGACTTGATGTACGTCAATAATTACGTACGTTAAGCCTACTCATTGTCGTTTGTCTCTTGCCTAATGCATGACTTTGGCGGGACGTACAGCAAGATGGACCGTGAATAAGGTGCTTCACGCATTTTTTAAACTGGCTTTACGGCTCTGGGTTCTAGCCCTCCTGAGCCTGAAATTACAATTTATCTTTAAAAGCGCTTTACGCATGATTACTTTATGCCAATGAATATAGTAACCAAAGAGTATAGTAACTGTCCTATACAGGAATCAGGAAATAGTAATTGTCTTACTCAATAGTATTGTATTGATATTTTCAACGGAATGCGTAGCTTATTTAATTGCACAAAAACACGCGGCGGCAGACTACTAGCTACTGTCATCAGGCTCGGCCGTAACATTTGCATATGCCTTTTAGTATTCGATTTGCAGCCAAAAATCAATTATGTTGCAATTTACTTTCTTACCAAATTCTCCTTTAACATATATACACATGATAGTAGCTGGCATGTGCATGGTACAGGTATGTGCCCTCAGTTTAATTTTTCTTGAATTTTTTTTCTTGAATTTTTTTTCTTAATATCTTTTATTGAACACTACATAGTCTAATGATAAATAAAGTGATATTTAATATGTGACTTTTTATTAACTGGACACAAATAACTCATCTTTCAAACCACCTTTCCTATGTGTAATAAAAAGTTTGGTCATCTTGCTAGAAAGAGATAAACGGCCTCGGCAGTACACATCCCTATCGGCTCGATTAAAGATTATATAGTAATCGACTAAAAATGAACAATACTTTATGTAGCTTATCCAATACTACTACTAGTTGCCAGTTACGTGACGTGATTTTACGAGGAACTAGACCATCACTACAGAGGAATGGATGATATTCTCGTAACATTTCGTGTTGCAGCCTCACACTCTGATAACGCCACCAGACGAAGATCTTCGTGTAATAGTTCAAAATCTGATAAAATCTACGAAATCTAGCGCTGTGTCTAAGATTTTTTTTTACTATTAAGTTTCATGTAAAGGAAGCTTTTCAGAACTCAAGTTAATAAAATCTAACTTAAGGTCCACAATGAGCCAAGCGGGACTAACCAATCTTTATATTTTATCTATCGAAAATAACAAGAAAGTAAATTTTGATAATATATTAGAATATTTTAGCAAAATAAAGTCCCGTTACCATGTACAGCATTTTTTGTTTTATTTTGGGCGGTGCTTGATAGAAAACCGCCCTGGGTGTTAACCCACGCTACGTTGCCACTAGTTATTGTAAGGTTTGATACTGTAGCGGAGCGATAATGTAATCAAAATATTAAACGGAGCTTAATTATAACAATATTCAGCACTTTCCATTTTGAAAAAAATATGCATTTCGTTTTCCGTAATTATTTTTTTATTTTTTTTTATTTTTATTTTTTTTTAATAATTTTATTTCAGACCATGGTCCATATATTGTTAGTAATGTTGTTAGTAACAATATTGGCTTAAAACTATGTTAGTATTGTAAGTAATTACATATTATTTTAATCCTATGACTACGCCCACCCAGTGCTTCTGTATGGGACAGTCATATCTTACAGATATCGCTCTCAGGATGCTGTTATTACTGTTTCGTAAGCGTTGCAAGAGTGAGGCTGTCTTCTTCCGAATGATCGCTGAAAAAGTGTCAGCACGCGCTTGTGCAAACATACCTGATGCACTGCAATGCCACGGCAGCCGCAACAACGTAATGCTGTATATACTATTAATATCCTCAAAATATTGTATCAAGGACACTCTATTAGAAAGAAATAGTACGTTTAACTCGGTGCCTTTCATTCATTTCAAGGTCACTGATTTAGGAACGTTTCTCTAGTATGAAGTGCGCACTCCCTATGTTTTACAATCTCGTTGGGTTACCATTACAATTATATCTGTGGCTTTTTCATTATCTTTATACCATAAACCTTTATGTCAATAGTCTATGCTCATCTGATTTTTGTCTGTGAAATCAAGTAAACACTCAACATGGATGATTTTTCTTTATTATCGATTGTAATTTAATTTTAACTATAAGTTTGTTTATAATGAATAAGTAAATTAAAAAGCGGTACTATATATTTTTCCGAAAATGTCTTCAGAAAGGTAATTAATTAAACGGGACCTCCTTATAAATTAATTATAAATTGCTTCCGATAACAGTTGAAAGTTGCAAAATCAATAAAGTATACGGAAATTGCTAATGTCACGCCCCGAATTTGTATTTGTTGCTGAGAGTTTATGTGCCTGAAGTGAAGTTGAACGTTTCGTGATGTTTTATTCTAGGGTTGAATGGGTGGAAATAATCGAGCCTAAGACAAAGGAGCATATGTATGCTAACCTAACTACTGGCGAATGTGTTTGGGACCCACCAGAGGTAAAGCGTTGACTTATAAAATATATGTTATAAAAATCCGTGTAAAAAGGAGGAATAATACATTAATACATAAGTTTAATAAGTTTTCATTAAAAACCTGGCTTAAAATATAATATGTGAAAACTTTCATTATTTACAATTTTAAACATTTGTTTTAATTTCTATATGTATCGCAGAAAATAACAAATTTAGGTAACATTTTAAACGTTTTAGAAACTCCAGCTGATTTGATAAATCCATTAAATTAAAAAAAAAAACTAGCAGAAAAAAAAGAAATTCTGATAAATGAAAATGAATTTAATTTTTTGTTCAGATATTACGAATGGAAGGAATTACTTAAAAATTCTTATTTTGATTATTAAAATGTTTAATTAAAAAGTTATTTTGCAATACATGGTGTTCATTTATATAACATTTTGTTTAATGCAAGTTTGGTGTCCATTTTTAAAATTATAATGATATGCTCAAAACTAATTATAACCAATGAAACACTTGGGAATATTGTTTTTATTTTATTTTTTTACTAACTAGCACATAGTCCACCTGATGGAAAGTGGATGCTGTGGCCACAGTATTCACTTTCACATAGACACATACACCTGTCCTCGATTAAAAATGAGTGAGAACATGGTCCTCCCCAGTCAAGCCAACCCATTTGTTCTATAATAATAAGCCCCATTTGTGCTATAATAATAAATAGCTGCAGTGTTGCTCTATCACTTAAAACAATGTACCACATATGAATCATGTAGTTTTCTAAAAAAAATTTAAAATGTTTAGAATTTTTTGTATTAAATAATAGTTTTCAGTGACTACTTTCTACTAATAAACTTACATACAGACAATTTTACTTCTTTATATTGTTCATGTAGAAGTGTAGATGATCTTTTTAATCATATTTAATATTTACTTTAAAATCTTGTGGAATTTTCATTGTTAACATATAGGTAATGCAGTAAATATTTTTTATAGATATTTGCTCTTTTTCAGGGAGTCAAAGTCAAAAGGACAGATTCATCTCAATGGTGGGAACTATTTGATATTAACACCCATAGGTTTTATTATTACAATGCTACTACACAGGTTAGTTAAATTTCAATCATGGAGGTGAATGTAATAAGTTGAATATTTCTTATAAAAACTGATAGTAGCTTAATGGTTTGGAGAAGCAACTGCAAAATCTAAATACCTTTTAGACTTGACCCCACCATTCTACTACTGTTATGAACAATTATAAGCACAAACATTTTAAGTTTTTGATAACCACTTACCATTAATTTAAGCAATATTTATAGCATTTGTAGT